GAAATGAATTCATCACAAGGAGAGCGAGCCTATGTATGATCTCCATAATTTTATTCGAAGTAAAAAGAAATACATATATCCGCAAAAAAATAAAGTAGCACGTTTACAAACATTTTTCCATAATTGTGTTTGTGTTTTACCAACCATTTTTTGTTTAATATTCGACGGAGATTTTCTAATATTTCGTGTCTACGCTAGTAGTGAATCTTAGGTTTAAGTGATGATCTATCATATTATGATCACGTGATCGGTCGACTTGCCCGCCTCCTCCCCTAGTGATCACGAGTGATATTTTCGAGACCTCCGCCACCCATCCTACCTTATCAGGTGATCACTCTTTTGCTCATTTTGGACCCACTCCTCCTACCTGATCACGTGATCACTCTTTTGCTCATTTTGGACTCCGCCCCCATGACATGATCACTTTTCTGGTCATTTCGGACCACCCCTCAACTCTGCCCGATGCTTCCTTAATGGTCTAATTAATTAATTACGTTCATGAATTTTTTTCCAAAAAATGCCGATCTCTCATACGGTAAGAGATAAAAATCCAGAAAAAATTTTTTCCAATAGAGTTTTACACGGTGAACATTTTTTCTGCTGGGCTCAACTCTGCCAGATACTTCCTTCATGGTCAAATTAATTAATTACGTTAATTAAGGTTTTTCCAAAAAATGCCGATCTCTCATACGGTAAGAGATAAAAATCTAGAAAAAATTTTTTCCAATAGAGTTTTACACGATGAACATTTTTTCTGCTGGACTCAACTCTGCCAGATGTTTCCTTCAGTTCGAATCTACCCCCGAGCAAAAAAAAAATAAGTCATTAAAAAATCATAACCATCCGGTATATGCCGTAACACAGTAATGATGGGTCAGCCTGAATTGTGTTACGGCCCCTTACCCCACCTAGGCCTCCTCCTCAGTGATCCAAGAGAAATCACCGATCTCAGGGGGGGAGGCCATGCTCCCAGTTCCTATTTTTTCACATCCTACAAGTTCAGATTTTGTTTAGGGCTGTGTTGGTGATATATTCCTATATATCGCAGTGGACGTCACTACAGTCAACGCCATGTCCTGATTTCCTGATTTCCTGATTTCTTTCAAGTGTAATGTAGCGAAACTCTGCGTAGTTTGTTGATAATTGAAGACAAATGCCTTTATTTCAAAAGAAAATATTTTTTTTTTCTATTTAGAAATTCAATTAATAATATAATACACAACAAGTACTTCGTTTAGATAGAAATTTTTGTGTTCAAATTCAAAACATTGAAATATCTGAAGGCAGGGTGTGGATGTGGGTGTGTAGTTACCACGATACCTTAGGTATTTCGAATGTTGCTGACTCAAATCTTATCAAGTGGTATAATGTATTAGCTTAAGAGATCCAAAAAACAAAAGTTTTGAATCAAAGCATAAGACATTTTAATTCTACCGGTGAGGGTGTGGGGTGTGTAGTAGTTACCACGATAACCTAATAGATTATTTCGATGTTACTGTCTCAAAAATCTTATCAAGTGGCCTTAGTACCAGTTAAGTTGAATCAAAAGAAAATTTTTGACACAACACATGATACTTGAAGATTCTACTCAGTATATGAATATTAATTAGAAATAATCGCCGTTCCACGACAACGTTGTTTCTGCCCTGGCGGGACTTCATCAGGTGGTTAACTTAGTATTATATCTGCTAGATAGTAATTCAGTTAAAATGTATAACATTGAAATTACTTTTCGATATAATAATTAATATAGTGGACTTATCCGCTTGAAAATTTTTCACAAGTTTGGGTATTCTTAGTTAAATTTTTGTTGTTTTGAACTATGTTGGGTATGAATTTGCATTTTGCTGAACCCACAGCTTGAGTCTCCTGTTGGTACTGATAGTAGTTCAGTTTTATACCAGTACAGAAAGAAAAAGCAGAATTGTCCTTGACAATGATTACATCACTGTTTGCCGCTTCAATCGTATGACCGATACTCGATTTGTTGATTAATTATTTGATTATATGGCTGTATTTGAAGTGAACATCCTAAAACAGAAATATCACGTAGCAGCTCTTGTGTGCTTCTTTTTATTAAGAACAGCGGTTTTTCTCCTTGAGATATTTGTTTGTATGTGAGACCTAATAACAGTGTCAGCGATCTTATATGGGTGAATATTCTATTTATACCCTATATTTTTCGCTTCCTTATTTCACTGAAGCACTTTGGTAGATAGATGGATCAGTCGTGGTGATAATCTACGTTTATTGTGGAGTATTAACTATAATCTGGGAATGGTATGGATAACATGTACTCGATTCAAAGTGAATAAAAAACTGTGTGTGTTTCTGAATAGAACCTCATTTTCTAGACTTACTTGATATTATAGAAACTACACATACATTGGATCATGATATTATTATATGCACTTTACAAAATGATTTTTTGCTCTGTCGTTCTTCCAAAGAAAATTCTAATATTTTTGAGATTAATCTTTCGTATCCTTACACACAAGAAATAATCAAGTTTTTTCGAACTAGATTTTCATGCAGTACAAGGATACCCTGAAGGATATCATACTAACAAAATCCTTGTGCCCTACATGTAAATTTTATGAGTACGTCGTTTATTTTTCAAATGAAAGATAATTACAGAGACTGCTCTTGACAAATATCTTTTTCCTTCTTTATAATTTCATTCCATGATAGTTCATAATCAAAATCGTTCGAGTATCTTTAAACTGATAACTGACAATTGTGATCTGCAGTACAAAATACTATGGCAATTTCCTGATAACCAACATGAAGATAAAGCGAACTGAAGAACTGTAAACATATTTTTTTCATTCATTTCTACACAAAAATAGAAATTTTTTTCTTTCACAGTATTTATTTGTGCGTAATCTCGTTGTTCATGGCTACCGTATTCCAAACAGATTACATTTCTTCTACTGAATCAAAGCAGCTTATTATTTTCATCAGAACTTTTTGAAAAAAATATGATCATGATTAATTCAATATTCATGTTTTTTTTTTTTTTTCTTGGCCGTGATGAAACCCTTTGCTTCTGTTCTATTCCATGATATATGTTGTCGAAACCCCAAGCATGCGGCAGGCGAATCATTTATATTTTTTTCACTGAATCATAATAGTTGCTTCTGTTCCTTACAGACTCATGAAAAAATGACCATAAATAATTAACTCTTCATATTTCTTTTTCTGTTTTTTTTGCAGTATAGGAAGCATTTGCTTCTATTCTATCCCACAGTATATTGTTCTCGAAGCCCTTGACAATCGACAGACAAATAATTAATAATTCTTTCGCGGAATCATATTCATTGCTTCTGCTCATGACAGATTCATGAAAAACATAATCATGAAAAACATAATCATGAAAAATTCGCTATTCATGTTTTTTGTTTTTTCATTCCTTCACAGCAGCGATCCGGTTTATGGTTCCATACTTTTTGTTTGCCTTTTGATCTCATAATTCAAGGAAAGTGGTGCACACATAGTTTGCGCTGCCTTCAGCGAATGAAGCAGTTTTTTTCCTTCTGCTTCAACTTCATGACAAACATAGCCCGCACAATTTGCTATTCATGTTTCTATTTTTTCATTCTTTCATGGCAATAGCTCCTTGTTTTTCATCGTATTTGTATGTCTTTTATATTGCACAGAGTTGCAACTAGTGAGCAAATACTTTTTAGTTTTCTCATTGAATCCAGACAGATGCCTCATTATTAAGAAATTTTTAGATTGAGAGCATCACACGACGTTTCGTCCTTGCTTAAGGGACTCATCAGATAGCAGCAGTATGGTATAATTTGGAGAAATAAATCGTTAGATTTTCCTTTATACAAAGTTACTATGTAACTTTGTATAAAGAAATATTTTTTTTTAAAAGCATCATACAATTCGCTTCTTCATTGTTAAGAGTCGCGACAGATATATCTTCAATATATAAGTATACCAATCCTGAAGGTTCCATTCAGTCGGACATGGATCTGTGTGTGTCAGAAGCTACCAAGATACGTATTGACTGCTATGCAGACAGTTTCAACATGTGGCTTAGCATCTCCAAGTGAATTAGAAATTTCAAACAAAAAGTTCGAAAACGAATCGACTCGAGAAAAATTATACTAGTCTACATTAGAGGTGAATGGTAGTTCTACAAACTGTACCAGATAAATCTCCAATTGACAGGGCACATAGATGCTAACACAACAGCTGTTGATTGTGCATGAGAGCCTCATGAGGTGGCTTAGCGTGTCAATTTCTATTAAAAATGCTTTAAAGAAAGTTTCCTATGAAAATCAGAGCAGTCAGTTCTAATCTACTCTTAAGTAAAATAGCGAATGTACGATGGGTGTGGGTGTGGCTATGGATGAGAATATAGGGTGTGGGTGGTTGTAGACTTGATTACAGATAATATCTATATCGATAACACTCACATGCACCCACCCAGATATACGCCCTACCTACACCTAGTTAGGAATTGTATTCATTACTTAAATTAGTAATTTCATCAGAATTTTATCTATTTCCCTTATGCATCTACTTTCAGCTTGTCTTGGAGCAATATCGTTTCTTTGACCTTAATACAAAATCAATATCTGCACTCCTGCATATATGTACAATCTTCGGGAAATCTATTTTTGTTTGGGATGAGAGATTAATCATCATGACATTACATTGTTGAAATGAAAGAGAAAATAATTTTTTTTCTTCACTAATTCAATTTTCGTTCTGTCTTTATTTGTGCATTATAAGAAAAAGAAGTTATTAAATCAAAGCCGCATATATAGGGTATCAGGCAAGAAGCCTCTAGTGTTTGCATAATATTAAGGTTTTTTCTATTTAAAGGAGTGAGAAAAAAGTTTATTTATCGACATGTTGAAGGGTTCAGTAACATACATACATAAGAGAATTATATTTCTTGTGATATTCATTATATAAAGAAATTCAACAGCATCCCGTTCCTGCTTTATCAGAATACTTTTTTTTTCAATCGGCTTGCGATGAAACAATTCAAATTTGATCATGTATCTGTTTTAACTCTACCTAGAAGGACAAAAAAGGTATGACTATTGACGAAACAGTTCAATGTTTAACAAGAACATAAAAACAAATCAAAATATTTTCTTTTAGGTCAAACCTATTGATGATATACAACTTAATCCAACTATCCATTCAACACCAGATAAAAAGAATTCTAATGATCATAAGACACTGTCATCTACCAGTATATCTTTGTCAAGTGATTCAATTCAACAAAAGCAACCGTTGCATGCAATGTTGTCGATGCCTAATAATGATTCTAAATTATTACCAAAAGAAAGTTTGAAGTATGTAGAACTCTCGAATATCATTTGATTTTATATTATAATATATAAGTATTCAGTTTTTATAGCAAGAATATTTTATAAAGAATAAGAAACAAGATATTCAACCATTTGTTATTAATTTAACAGAATTTTGCTATATATACAACACTCATTTTCATCAAGGGAAAATGTTTTTCATTGTAGAATATCGACAAAACGATGGAAAATGCCTACTGCATTATTGATTGCCATGTTCATCTTACTTGCTTTGGCAGTTGCCATTTATGCATTGCTTAATACAAAAACAGATACAACAAGCACTACAACAAGTAATACTTGATTAAATTTGGTTTTTAACTTCAAAAGTGATGCTTCTGTAACAGAATTGTGATAATTTACCTTAAAATTGAACATAGAAAAATTTGTTTTCTAAATGGGACAGAAATAAAAATACAATATCAATTTTTTTTTACATAAATCGACACCTTTTTAAATAAAATTGCATATTTTTTACATAGTGACTACAACAACGTCAACAACAGCAACAACAACATCAGCAACGTCAACAACAGCGACAACAACATTAACAACATCAACAACATCAACAACAGCGACAACAACGTCAACAACAGTGACAACAACGTCAATAACATCAACAACAACGTCAACAACAGTGACAACGACGTCAACAACAGCGACAACAACGTCAACAACAGCGACAACAACATCAACAACGTCAACAAGATCAACAACGTCAACAACATCAAAAACAACGTCAACAACAACGTCAACAACAACGTCTGGTAAGACCTCTATAATGATATATCAGACAATTGAACTTTTCGAATAACTTTAGACAACAAAAACTAGTAATTTTAATTTTGACAGATAATGGTTGATACCCTAAAAGAAAATAATATGGTTCCCATTCTAATGATTACATTTTTTGCATAAAATATCAAAATTGAGTTTCTTTTTTTCAAGGATGTGGTAAAATTTCTTCTTCTAGTATATGACTTGAATTTTAGGAAGTAGGAAAGTCTTAGTTCTTCTCATTCATTATTTTTGTTGCAGTGGTCTAGTTGACCTCAAGGTTTTCAAAAGTTTTCTCATAGCTCTCCCTAGTCTTACAATTATCATTGAAAATCAATAATATCGTGGCATCCAGCATGTCCATCGATACTTCTATTGATATATACATTTCATGAAGGAGAATCTTCTCTCTTGTCTATGTAACGGTCAAAAATTCTACAGTTTTCAGTATGTAGAATTCTCTGTGTTCTGTGTATTGTGTATAGCAACAGTTTTGCACTTGTAGGCAGATTGGATTGTAATTTATTTGTATGAAAGCGATTCATCTACGAACTGTTATTTTCAAAATATTCTGACTCAAGTATTTACTATTTTTTACTTATCATTGATAAACACATTCATCGTACTTTGGATAGAGTTATGGAACTTTACATTTTAGTTCTTATTGATTTTGAAAACTGATTCTATTAGCTGTATAAATTCAAGATGGAATCAAACAGCTAGGAAATTGTGATTTTTACTCTTTCAGATGATGCTCCCATTACATCTGCCTTTAATCGGCAGTTGCGCCTGTAAGAATTTCTATTCCTACGGCTATTACATGTGAGATATCAGCGCGTGTTCAATGAGGATTTGTAAGATCGCTTTAGACAAATAATACAAAGATATATCTTGTCGTTTTATGTGGTGATACCAGCAGAGGATGGTGTTAATAGTAATAATAGTATCATTAGATGTCTATAACAAATATTGATAATAGACTATTATATTTCTTAAACTGCTGGTGATGAAGTTTGTAAATTTACAGTTTCTAAATTTAGTTAGAGAAAAATGTCTTAAAGCAAACTGAACGACAATTTTTTTTTTCATATGGCTTGTCTTTCTAAATGTGTCACCAATAACAATTTCATGCTCTATTCTGTACACAATACGCTAGGTTCCAAGTAACCTACACATGGTGCTAGACTGATTTCTTCTCATATATGTCAAATAGCAGAGAGAGAAGCGTTAAGGAAATCCTACTATCTATACTCATATAAATAGAAAGTAAATAGTTGTGAAATGGATTCCTGGACTACTTCGATGAATTTCAGACTTTGCGTATTTGTTTTGTTTTTGTTATTCTAAAAAAAATCCAATACATTTTCCAACCAAAATTCTATGGAATACTTCTGATCTTTAATTATATTCAAAGAAATATAAATTTTGAAAATGAAATTTTCTACGAAAGCCTTCGATACGAAAAGACTATTGTATACATATATATATATATACAGATATATTGTTTTTTTAATCATTTAAATCAAAAGTTACCACGACTACTGCACGTTTGCTCGTGAATATCACCCAACCAGGTGATTCAATTGTTGGCATTTGCAATACCATAGCAGGTGGATCTACCGGTGGATTCAATGTGAGTTATCCAAGCAGTGAAAAGCCACCAAATGCTATTGATGGTTCATTAAGTACCAAATATCTAAATTTTGGAGATTCATCATCCGGTTGTTCTGGTTCAAGTTCTCCTGGAATAAACACTGGGTTTTATGTGACACCTACGATAAGTAGTGCATCTGTTGCTGTTCGTCTTCTTTTTGCAACTGCAGGAGATACTCCTAATCGTGATCCAATAACAGTAACTCTTGAAGGAACAAATGCGACAGGTACGACAGCTCTCAATTTAGGAAGTTGGACATTGATTTATAGTGGTTCAACAGGCATCAGTTCATCAACTGATCCTGGCCGTCAAACATATGTGTCTGAACAAAGTTTCACGAATACAATTGCTTTTCGAAGTTATCGACTTCTAATTACTTCAAAACGTGGTACTGGTAATTCAGTTTCATATGCTGAAGCTCATATCATCGGATACATATACATATAATACTCTAGAATTTTAGATATTTATATTATTTGTATAAAGCAAAAAAACTCTTCCATAATCAATAATCGATATATAAAGGGTGTGGGTGTGGGTGGGTGTGTGGGTGTGTTAGCAGAGATGACTTTAAAGAAAGTCGAATCAAATAGC